TTAGCAGATTTGAACCTGTGGGGGCATGGAGGGTATTTTTGTTCCTACACCTGTTTCATAAAGTAAAAAACAAACCAGTAGACTGTTTAGGCCTTAAAAGTTGTCCTTCCAAGGACTGAAGTGAGCGAATTTGCACCGTGGCAAGGAGAGACAAATAGCATGGCACTCACCTAAGAAACATAAAATACTTTACACAAACAAAACAGTCATGCAGGATAGAAGTGCCGGTCACAAGTTACACCATTTAAAATTGTCATGGTAAATATTCATTCAATACAAAAATTATCTTTTGATTGGCCACAAGGCACTGGGTATATCAAGGTGATTAAGACACAGTCCTCGCTCTCCAGATGTCTAAAATCTAAATAAAGAATGATTGGTAAGCATGCACATGACTATCAGGTGAGAGGACTGAGGTGCTCCTAAGAAGTCACTTGGGTCCACTGGCCCAGCACAGCAAAGCCAAACACTGCCATTGGACTACAGTGAGAGAAATAAGGCATTTATTGCAGGGTGCCAAGCAAGAAGAATCAGGTAGCTAAATGCTTAAGAATGAAACTTTCAGAGGGCTTACAGGTAAAGGTGTTAAAAGGCAAAGAGGAAGAGGGTTCAGGCAGAGTCATAAATTCACACGTGAAGGCTATACATTGGTGTGACCTCAAAAGGCAGGACATCTTGAAGCAGAGACCAACAGGTCAGAAGTGGATTCAAAGATGTTCTGACTTGCAATTGGTTCAGGAGGCAAAACTTTGTCTAAAATTCTGGGATCAGCAAAAAAGAATGTTAGCTCTGGCTCATAGGCATGGCCTCCTCCAGGCCCCTCAGGAAGAAATTTAGACCAAAGAATGGTGGTCAGAGTTCAGTCTCAGCTCCCCCTTGCCTGAGGTCTACAGAACAGTGAATTTGTTTAATGGGTGTCCAGGTTTCTGAAACACAATTCAGGAACATTTGTTATCTTTAGTTTCTGTGGGAACCAAACATTTCATCACTCGAATTTCCATGGCTACTGTTTTAAGCTATGATTACCTCCTTGCTTATCAAGTTCTCATTTGCTTCTCAAAGCTAGCTAGGTGCCTGAAATTTCTCTTGAAGGAACTCAAGATTTTTATTTCCATGCTTGGCAAGGAGCAGGGTGGGTTGACGGGTGGGGAGCTGCAGGTCCCTAAGAGGGGTCCCTGCTTTATCTCAGTATCACCAGGGTTAATGAAGGAGCTGGTGTTTGAGAGCATGAGCTGGGGAGAGCATGGTGAATTAGAAAAGAAAAGCCAACATGTGAATCCCAGGAAGCAGGGGAGGTGTTCTGGGAATAGTGAGCCATTCGGGTCCCTGGGTACACGTTGAGCAGCAACAAAAGAGGATGGAGAGGAACTCCTTGGAGCCCCAGCTTAGAGAAGCAGGGACTCTGCTGTCACAGAGTGTGCCTTCCCAGGGCCACACTGCTTAGTTTCAAATCCCCACTCTGCCTCTTGCTAGCTTTATAGCCTTAAGAGTAACTTCTATGTACCTCAGTCTCTTCAGCTGCAAAATAGGGTAATAATGCCTGCATCATAGGGTTGTAAGAATGAAATGGATTAATATGTGAAAAGTGTTTAGAACCATGCATGGCATGTAGTAAATGCACTGTGAGAGACGGCCACCAAGATCATACCAAGTAGGATTCAAGAGGTAAGGATGAAGCATTTGTTCAGTTTGGAGAGAAAGCCAGGGAAGCTTTCAGAGCTGGGACAGGAAAAAATTGGAACTGGACTTTCAGACAATGAGTCTGGCAGGAGGTAAGGAAGGGAATGAAATGGGAATGGCAGTTGGGAATTGGAGAAGTGAACATGGGCTCCAGGCTATGGCAGAAGGAGTTCTCCCCCTGAAGATAACGTGGGCAGCTTCCAAGAGCTTCTCAGCATTCAGATGCCTGCATCCCTTAAGGCTCCTACTCCACACTCAAACCACCTGATTAGAACGTAAAGGATCATGAAAGTGGTTTAATATCTGTGACAGGAAAAGCTTCTCTCCAAAGGGTGGAAAGCAACTCTTGATATATCAAAAGGAAAACCGACCTCTAAAAGCTTCCAGTTTTCTTTCTGTATCCCGAACTAAGACTGAAAGAAAGCTAAGGATGTCTTCTTTAAAAGGACACACTGGTCTTCACAAAGAGAGAACAGACATTTCCCTCTTGGGATGGTGTTGAGCATTACTTTAAAATTCCCTTCTAAAGGCTTGTCCCAAAACCTATGTTCTTATTGTGTGCTACTTCCATAAGGTAAAGTAACCGTGATCCTTCTTAAAATGCAAAATATCACCTGACCCATACACATTTAATATGGCAACATGAGTAATGTATTCCATTAACCAGAAGCTAGTCACTAATGAGGCCCCACAGGACAGCTGGATTTGACTGGGACCCCGGAGGAAGAATTGGTCTAGAGCTCTGAAGCAGATGTTGGCATGGGTGAGGATCCAAGCGAAAGCACAGGACAGGGAGAATGTGAGAAGGAAGCCACATAAAGGAAGCAGATGCAGAAGGAACAAAGTGGCTTAGGGAATGAATTTGCCAATCACAAAATTTTGTTGTAAACCAGCCCTGCCCTAACATGTTTGATGAAACTTACATCTGCCACCAAAATGGAAAACAGTCCTCAGTGCCACCTAACGCTCTCTCCTCTTGGCTGCATGTACACCCCTGCCAGGGACCACTACTCATTCATTTTCCCCAGGAAAAAGGAAAATGAGAGAATCTTTACAGTTTTTACAGTTTTAATCATCAGTGGTTTCAGATGGTCTGAAGGGAGCATGTGTTGCCCCTTCCATGCAGCCCAAAGACGCCATGAAAATGCCAAAATCTAGGCTCCCTGCATTTCAGGAGAAGAGTGTGACAGCCTGATACATGGCCAGAACAAGTCAAAACACAGGTACAGAACAAATATATGACTTTAAGCTGAGCTACAGAGCAGTTCATTGTTAATGACTCCAGAAATTAATCAAAAGAGCTTCTCTCGGGTCCTATAATAGGGACAGCAGTGCCACAGACCTTTTTGTAGGGTGCAGCAAACTTCTTTCCTTCCAGCCAATAGGTGACCATTTCCCTTTTCCCAGGGGAGGAAAACCACAAGTGTTTAATTAGGGGAGAAATAGCCAGTTCAGCCAGAAAGGGAGTCATCTGGAGATAGACTCACCTACTCATTGGACATGACAGGGCACATTCTCAAGTCTGCCTAGGGAACCCTGGGGTCCTGAGGGACTGGAATCCCTGAGAGACAGCTCTTAAATTAGTTTCCCATTTGCTGCTGAGTGCACACCCTGCATTCAGGGCAGAGACCACTGCTTCATGGCACCTGGAGACACAGGCAGTCTAATGAGTCACAGTCACCGGCTCATACTCACCTATGCTGCCATGCTAACAAATCCCACGTGTACTGCTAAGCTGGGAGGGGTGACACAAACTTGGGCGCTGCAGCTACTTAGCTCTTCCGACAAAGCTAAAAGAGTATAATGACCCAGTAACTCTGAAGAACAACATCTTTTCAGGACAGTTACTAAACAGGCATCTCCCCACATGAAAAATTAGTGCCCTTCCAACGACTGTGGATAGTCACAGCCTCCTCCTAGCACAGGGGTCAGAATTTCTGCCTCTCATTTACATGGAAACTGGCATTTGAAAGCTATCACTCCAGATTCATTTTGACACACTCTGCAAGAAAAACATTATCTGCTTGTATTTGCTGACCAGATCCAAACAAATTAATTGTGATTCATTTCAGTTGGGGAACACTCATGCTGCCAGAGCCCTGTGCAAAACAAATTTCAGAGTTAACAGTGTGGTGCTTTTCCTGGGATTTTCTATGTAGGTTACCATGGTATTCTCTCTGAACATATTTCATATTTAAAATATACAAAAATACCCCAGAAACTATTTGGGCAATGTCTGGAGGGAACCGCCCACAACTAATGCACATGCATCTCACATTATTTTACAGCTGGTTGGATTGCCTTCCAGCAGAACTCGTTTATTTAGTCTTTTTCTAAGTCACACAATTATTATTTCTGTGACTTTCCATCTGAGGAAACTGGAGCAGAGTGAAGTGGTCCAGTCACACCACAGCTAGTGTGAGCTGAGAAAGAATCAGGCTCTGGTGGCAGGAGAGCCAGGACTGCATCTGCCCCATGGATGGATCAAGGACAAGGGGTCTGAAAATCTCTCCCACCTTCAGCTCACATTCGCCCCACCTTCTGTTCCAGATGTAATGAATTTCAATTACTTTCACATAGTTAATTTCATTGCCTTTTCTAGGAATTGATTCTCTTTTAAAATAACGATGCCTTACATGGGAAACAACCTGGAGTACCTCACTGGGAAGAGTTCATAAATGAATCTCTTCTATTATAGGAAGAATGTCAAGCACTGGGAGAAGATTGGGTTGAGTGGCTGGAAATGAGAAGGATGCTGAAATTAGGGGGAAGAATTTGGAAAGAGAATGTGTAAAAACCAAAGACATATTTTGCCTGTTGCACAGTTTTTCCAAGGATTATTGTCCCTTTCTCTCTTTTCTCTTCCTTGTCCTTAAGATGGAACATTTTTAGAGATGTCCCATCTGCTCATAAAGGTCTGGGGATGGAAATATATATATTCTTTATGAGCCAAAACAAACATGTGCAATTCTTTAGCAGATGTATATCCAAACCTTACACAGGTTAATATTTTTGCATGGGTCTCCCTATGTTTCCCAGCTTGGTCTCAAACTTCTGGCTCAAGCAATCCTTCTGATCAGCCTCTGGAGTAGTCAAAATCAAAGAATTTCCAGTTTTGTTTGGGATTTTTTCACCTGCCGCAGAGACAAAATATGCAATGCTGCAAATGTTTCTCATGAGTTTACTGGGCGCAGCGACTCTTATAGGAAGAATGTCAAGCACTGGGAGAAGACTTGACATTAGGACTTGAATGGTCAGAGTTCCCTTGTCGTGCTTCTCTCCCATGCCTGCATCCACACATACAGGTAACCAATATCTACCTTGACTTGCACATTCCTAAGACATGCCAGTATGTAGTCTCCAATTTGCTCCAGGATTTGATATGCACTTGAACTGCAGTGGATTTTCAGAGCTAGAGAACAGAAGAGGAAATAACCCAGTTACATAAGTCCAGACAGTATCCTTTGCTTTGCCTTGCCCTGAAAAACTGAGCAACTCTGAAACATGACCAAGAAAATTCAACTTCAAGAATCTCACCTAGTGAAGAGGCACCTCAGAGCACATCCCAGCAGACATCCCCCAAGTGCTTCACATATAATAATAAGCTGCACCTGATTAGCTTTTCCCATCAAAATTATGTGGTGGGGGCTGCTGACCTGGGGAAAAAAATCTTGTATATTCTAGAGCAAAGTTGGTGTGTACTCTTTTTGGAGAGTTTTTCAGGGATATCTGCATATTCTTACCACATACCTGAAATAAAAGTGGTCAGAGCAAGATAAAGTTCTGAAGTCCCTGAAAACCCTGCACTCTCACTCTACCCGTTTCTTAGAGCAAGATGGTGGGTCTGCCTTCTTCAGGTGCATCCCACATCACGACCTTTTTTTTTTTTTGAGATGGAGTCTCGCTCTGTTGCCCAGGCTGGAGTGCAGTGGTGCCATCTCGACTCACTGCAACCTCTGCTTCCCAGGTTCAAACAATTCTCCTGCCTCAGCCTCTGAGTACCTGGGATTACAGATGCACACCACCATGCCTAGCTAATTTTTTTTGTATTTTTTAGTAGAGGTGGGGGTTTCCCCATATTGACCAAGCTGGTCTCAAACTCCTGACCTTGTGATCTGCCCATCTTGGCTTCCCAAAGTACTGGGATTACAGGTGTGAGCCACCATGCCCAGCCCACATCATGATTTTTGCCACAGCCATGCCCTCAACTGTATTATCATTGAGTTAACATCTTTGGTTAAATGGGCTCATTTAATCTTTTTAATAAAGAGTAGGAAAGCTTAGAGAGTCAAAAGCATCCTACTACCAAAATAATTCCCATTTTTCCCTGACAATCAGAAGTGCTGAAAGAAAACAGAAAAACATATAACTTTCTCCTGATGTGACTTAATGATAAGCTCTTGTCTCTTGACCATCTAAAATCACCTACTGGCTGATCCAAAGGTAGTGAGTTATCTCAATCGATTGTTCAGTCAGTTACAGATCAAACTCCTTGTTCTACGCTTTCCCCTCTTGTCATTACTGCACTTGACTAGTCTAAGAATAAATATTAATAAGTAAATAAATAAAATCACCTAGTAGTATGACCTCATGTTTGGGGGTGAGGTGCTTTAGGAAAAGCCCAAGCTCCCTCTCCCACACCTGCACATGCATACGCATGCACACATCCACACCCCACCTTCCACACACGTATCACCACAAAGAACCTCTGATCCTTCATCAAGTGTCCCATGGGCCATAGCCTTCAGCAGAGATTGAGACCTTGGATGGTTAAACCAAAAGAATTAAGTCTAGATGTGATGTGGTACCCTTTCTGGATCTCTTCCAGATTGCCCCTCCTTTACTTCTTCCTACTCGCCTGTGTGGCCAGATAGCCCAGAAGCTGCCTCCCACCTTTGGGGCCCCAGCTCCCACACTCAGGCTTCAGAAATAAACAAAATTGGGGGATCCAGAGGAGGCATGGAGAGAACTGCTGAAGGTAGCCTGTTTGGGGCCTCCAAGAAAAGAATTCTGAGCTCTACATAGGTCTTTTTGGACCTTCCTTCATCCAGAGCCTCAGGATCCTGGAGAGAAGGAAAGGGGCCCAGAAGGTCTCACCATGCCTCTGCCTCATCTAAGCCTTGAGCTTCGGGGCAGAGGAATTTCTCTTGCTCAGACGTGGTACTGCTCAGTCAGCAGGATCTGAATGTTATTTCCTCCGACAGTCAACCCTAAACCTTATTAACAAGTGATAACACTGAGTGGCCAACCCTGTGTTTTTGTTACCCTGCCCACCTAATTAAGCTTCATTAAGCTGGAAAGAGGCAAAATTTGGATAATGCCAACCAGAATAATTGTTCCCTGAATAACTATATTAATTATATAAGCCAATCGTGACTGAACAGAAATAATGGAGAGTATATTACTTCTGATAAGGCAAGTAAAAATAAATTTGAAGAGCACTTACCATTTATTAAATTTTTATACTAAAAATTCTCTTTTGAAGCCCCATAAAGACATATTTTCTACTAATAGTTATTACCATTTGTTGGCCCTGACTATATACCAAGAACTGGGCTAAGATTCTAATAAGTACTATGCCATTTAATCCTTATAGCTTCCCTAAGAGGTAGCCAAACTCACCCCCATTGTATGTGTTAGGTAGCCAAGGATAAGGGAGGTGAAATACATGCCAAGGAGAACACAACTTTACAGTGGCTCACGCCTATAATCCCAGCACTTTGGGAGGCCGAGGCGGGTGGATCACGAGGTCAGGAGATCGAGACCATCCTGGTCAACAACCTGTCTCTACTAAAAATACAAAAAAATTAGCTGGGCATGGTGGTGCACGCCTGTAGTCCCAGCTACTTGGGAGGCTGAGGCAGGAGAATTGCTTGAACCCAGGAGGTGGAGGTTGTGGTGAGCTGAGATCGTGCCATTGCACTCCAGCCTGGGTAACAACAGCGAAACTCCGTCTCAAAAAAAAAGAAAAAAATAACCCAACTTTATAAAATGCAGAGCCAGGATCCCAAATCCCATACCTCAAACACTTTAATAATATCACCCTAGATCCTAAACTACCTCCCCTCATACAGGTGAATCATGGAAAGCAGAAAATAAGTGAGTTAAATACCATTGTCTATAGAACAGAGGGTACATTTTCCTTAAAGAGAGCCCTTATTTTGAGCTTTTACCAACCCAGTCAAGGTTTGGAGAAAAGGCTTTTTGTTGAAATCTAATCTTTTGCTACTTGAGTCCTTTAGGTAAAGAGCCTCCATTAATGAATGAAAGTGGTTTTTAAAAGGTCATGGCTTAGGACCTTTGAGTATTTTTTGTTTGTTTTAAGTAACACATATAACCTGGTTGGTAATGCATCATAACCAAAAGTCCAGATGGAAATTTTCCACTTGGTGGTTGGCTTTTGAAAGATGGCCTTAATGTTCCCTTCAGCATGATAAACCTTAGACAGCTTTCTCTGCCGTCCCTTTCTTAGGGCATTTATTTGAGAAAACTTGCAATTGTAAATTATTTCTGATCCTTTAAGATGTACATCTTCTCCCACACTCTTGCCACTTTTATAACCCAGGAATATCTTTCTTAAGGCTCTGGGAGATATCCCTTTGAAATGTAATTATCAAGAAAGACAGTGCCCCTATCTCTCAGACTTTGTAGGAGACTAAGAACCTAACTTCAATAAAGACCAACTAGCAAACACTGATGGCCTAATTACATTGACCAGCCTACTCCCTAACATACTCTAGTACTTTTTCACTAGCTCACCCAGAGCTTTAAAACTGCTCCCTTTCTTGTTTTAGTGGAGTTGAGTTCAATCCCTCTCCTCTATTGCAATCATCTTGAATAGCCTTCCTTGACTGTCTAACTCCATCTGGTGCAATTTTTCTTTGATGTTTTTGATTTACTGTAACCCAGGCCAACATATCTTCTCACTACTGGTGATGACTCTGTGCTTGCAGCAACCCAGGGACCACAGATGCTCTTATAAGATGATGAGGTGGAAATGAGTACTTGGGGATTTGTGGGTCATTTCTGATCCATGTCTTCTACTCCCCTGTGATAAGCTAGGAGGGAGGCTATTGGGAAATCATCTAAATATTGGCAAAAATCACCATATTCAGCCTGGCTCGGACCTCCACCTCTACCTGTGCCCCTATCATCACGGCTACTCTCCACTTGTTGGAGCATCACTTAGGTTCACATGAGTTTCTTCAGGGAAGCAAACACCCACTGAACTGAACTCAAGTAGAACACACCTGGAAATGCTGGGAATGTGATGGTTAATATTAAGTGTCAACTTTATTGGATAGAAGGATGCAAAGTATTGTTTCTGGGTATATCTGGGTGTTGCCAGAAGAGATTAACATTTGAGTCAGTGGACTGGGAGAGGAAGACTCACCCTCAGGAAGACTCACCCACACTGTGGGTGGCCACTATCCAATCAGCTGCCAGTAAAGCTAGAAAAAAGCAGGTAGAAGGTGGAAGAAACTGTCTAGCTGGGTCTTCCAGCCTTCTTCATCTTTCTCCCGTGCTGGATGCTTCCTGCTCTCGAACATCAGACTCCAAGTTCTTTGGCTTTTGGAGTCTTGGACTTACACCAGTGGTTTGTCAGGGGCTCTCAGGCCTTTTGCCACAGACTGAAGGCTGCACTGTCAGCTTCCCTACTTTTGAGACTCAGACTGAGCCACTACTGGCTTCCTTGCTTCTCAACTTGCAGGTGGCCTATCGTGGAACTTCACCTTGTGATCATGTGAGTCAATTCTGCTTGACAAACTCTCTTTCATATATACATATATTCTATTAGTTCCTCTAGGGAACCCTGATTGCTACAGGGACCCCACTATCTTTAAGTCCATGAAGAGTGTGCAGATCACAAACAACTCACTGAAACAATTATATTTCCCAAAAAAGAATTATGTGTAAATATCCTTATATAACCAGCTGGATTTCTGTCGTGAACCTTTGGTCCAGATTTTATATTGATTATTCGCTGCTTTATTAACAATCTGCTTAGAGATTGGAAGAGATTGTTCATGAAATGCTCTATAGGAAGTTGTATTATTGAAGAAATACTTAGAAATTCCAAGAGTGCAGTCTCAGGGAGAAAGTAGAGGTGAAAATATCTGAGTAACATCACAGAGACATGAGAGAAGAGCCAATAAAATACCTACTAGGCTTATGATGAAAGCAGAAAGAAATGCAGAGAAGACAAAATCTGTAACTTCCTTGTGTTTTCTTCTATAAAATAAATAAAATGTCATCGATGGCTATACAAAAAAAAAAAAAAAGATTTCCATCCAGCTTGCAGTCTTCTGTGCAGAGCCCCAGTGATGCTTTCCCCTCCTCCATACCTTCCCCCTCCTCATCAGGCAGTGCAAGTTCTCATCTAAGTAGTTGTGATGTTAATGCCCTGTATTG